CAGGAGAGCCAAGTAGAGGGGGGAGAACCCCCTCCTTCAACCTGCTGGCCACACATCTTGAAGCACTGTAACAGATCCCTTCCTTCCAGGCAACGTTCCAGCCCTATTCCACATCTTCTCTGGAACAAACGCCCAGCCTGCCATAGCTTCCACAAGCCCCTACCCCCATGGATAGTGAAATCCTCCACTGGCACTGAGCTGGCCACTTGACCAATGTGTGTCAAGTCCTCTTCATTCAGGCCGGTGGAAGGGCAGGTCATGCTCCGGGGTTGGCCGTCCAGAGTGAAGAAACCTGCAGAAGGAGGAGCAGTGCACCATGTTGTGGGAGCCGTGCCCAGTTTCGTGTGAAGAGCTCAGGTCACGGACACCCTCAAGCAAGAGTGGGGATGCCAGCACCAACCCACCTTCCTGCCAGGGCGATTTACTAAAAAATAGCTGCCATGGCTCTGGAGAAGCCATTTTGGAGTAGGGACCTCCAAAATGTTGCCAGTGACTTACCGGGCCAGGGCGAGTCCAGCCAGTGCTTGATGTGCAAGATCTTTTCATCTTTGGATCTCGCATGGGCCTCCTCGCAGATCTTATCGTACTTGGCGATTTCCTCCTGGAAGGCAGAACCAGGAGGCGGAAAAGCATTAGCAAGGGGTTTCCAAAGAAGGGTGCTGAGCCTCGGGGCTTCGGCACGAGCTCGCCAAGGTGCTGGAGGGCACAGCTGGTCCCTGCAACAGGGGAGCCCCAGGGCTGTGCATCTCAACCTCAGAGAGCCATTCGAACCCACAGCTCACATTCAGCCCTAAAGATGCTGCAGTGGTACCGGGGCAAGGAGGAGCCAGCGGAGCAGCTGCCACGCTCGCTGCCAGGGTGGCAGAGCCGGGGCGGGGGACCTGCCCCAGACACCCCCCAGGCCACAGTGAGGCCGAGCGCTGCAGAGCCCGACTGTCCCGTGGGTCCCACCTGTGCCGCAGTGGCCCAGCACCGTGTGGCCTGCGCTGCCCTGGTCAATCCTTGAACTAGCTATTCCTGTGCTGGTCGGAGCTGGCACAGTCCAAGGAGGAGCCTCCACTCCTAACCCCGTCGCTGCCAGGTCTGCGACACTTGCCCAACCCCAGCACAGCTCTGCCACCTTTAGGTGACAGGCATGGGCGGAAACGGGCCCCATCGCATCGCTCACACCCAGGTCTGAACCAAACCAGTAGTTTTTCTCCGGAGATGCCGCCCACGGTTTTCCTCCCAGGTGCCAAGGGACAGTACCTCATACTCCGGCTGATTTACCACCCCCTGGGAAATCAGCAGCTCCGCGTATTTCTGCAGCACTGGCTTCTGTTTGCGGATCTGTTTGTACATCAGAGGCTGCGTGAACATGGGCTCGTCCATCTCGTTGTGACCGTTGCGCCTGTAACAAACCTGCCGGGAAGGGAAGGAGCCTTTGGAAGCTGCTGCTTGCACCCCACAGCTCCGAACGTGGTCCGAGATACCTGGGTCTCTGCAAGGAAGGGTCCGAAACAGCCCAGAAGGGACCCAAGTGTGTCCTCCCCAGCGCAGAAGGCTCCGTATGGAGACAGCGCCGCCTCTCCGAGTGCTATTACAGCCTCGTTGCCTTTACACCACCTCCTTCCTCCCCTCACACCAACAGGGGCAGAGGAGCCCCGAGGAGAAACCTCAGCTTTCAGAAAACACCCCCTGAGAGGTACTGGTGGGCAGCCACGGCAGAGCCACCACTTTAGGATAAAGCCTCGTGCCACGTTTCTTACCAAATCCACCACCACGTCCTTATGGAAGGTGCTTCGCCACTCTGCCGCCACGTTGCAAACGTAGACAACAGCCTCCGGGTCGTCCGCATTGACGTGGAAAATGGGAGCGTTCACCACGCGAGCGACGTCGGTCGGGTACGGGGAGGAGCGGGCCATCCGGGGGTCCGTGGTGAAGCCAATCTGTAGCAGGTGAGAGGGAAGAGGAGCAGCACAGCAGTAAGGATTCGGAACGCGGCACATGCAGCTTCCAGGGCAGCTCGGCTGCTGCGGCTGAGCTGGGGGTTCCCCCATGGCTGAGCCACTCAGACGTGGCACAACCTGCCCATCTCCTGCACCTCAGGCACCACAGCCTGTCCCAGTCCCTGCACCTGGGCCGTCGTCCCACTGTGCCCACAGGGCTGGGCTGGTTCCAGGGAAACGACTCTGGTTTACGTGAAGGCAGAACGGAGCAGCCCTGCGTGATGGTGCACCACCTCTGCGCCAGGCTGGGCTCAAAAGCTGCTACAGACAAAAGCTGTTGAGCAGCTGGGTATAAAGTAGCCTCTGTTGACCCCAGGATTAGGGTGCATGCCAGGAACATTGGCTGGGAAACAGCTACCGCCTGCTGCCAGCTCCCACCCAAACCTGAGCCCGTCTGCAAGGGACCCCCAGGGCCGCAGGGGATTTGCTCCTCACCTGGTTGTTCACCACGACGTGGACGGTGCCGTGGGTGGTGTAGGAGGGCAGGTCGCTCAGGTGGAACGTCTCGTACACGATGCCCTGCCCAGCGAAAGCAGCATCTCCGTGCAGCAGGATGGACATCACCTGCAAGACGCGAAGCCGCGGCCATCAGCAGGGGCTCCACAGCAGGGGCTCCGCGGGGAAACAGCCCCAGTCGCATCCCCATGGGCCTTCAGTGTCCCGGACAGGACACGGAGCAGCTCATCAACGCGTCCAGAGCTTTCTCGGGGATCAAAGTGGAGCTGGCCATGGTTGGCACAACCACTGGGGAGAAGGCT